ACAGTACAGGAGAAAATTGGATAACAAAACGACAATGCAAAAACTGGAATATAGTCATCATTCAGCACTTTTTTTAACTACTAATCATTTTTTTAATGCGTCTTAATATATCTTTAGCATAAAATATGGTAAATTAAGAAGCATGAAAATTTAGAATTGTTTCTGGATTGATTCTTGCCAATGGAGAAGTTTATATAAACGGGACAATGTCTGGCGAGAAATGAATGCTTTTGTATGAAATTCGAATTGACTATGGTTTAATAAAAGATTAAATGTCTATGGATTTTATAACGTGTAAAAGAATAGTGCTGGAAATATTTACATATTAATATTCTGGAAATATTAATATTCAAGAAATATGGGAGATCAAGATGTATAAATAATACGGATAATACGGATTACACTCAGTGTGATCTCGGCAAAAATTTTTATGCTGTAATGCATGCAGTAACTACCGTTTAAATGTAAGTACCCATTCAGTGAAAATTTCTTATCATACAAGTAATCAATTGATCCATCTAAGAAAAGATCGGGGAGTTGAAAATAAACAGAAACGAAACAATGGATTGTCGAAAGTTATTATACAATCTATTAGTTATTATACAATCTATTAGTTATTAGTAATAAAAAAACCAGTGAAAATTTGTGCCATATATAACTTGTAACTTATATTATTTGTGAAAAAGATGAAAAGTCAATAATTTCTAAAAGCTATAGTCAAGATTATTTCTGTCTGGATCAATGTAAGAAAAACTAAATTCGTCAAAACTTTTATGAAACAGAATACATAATTACTTCAATTTATGCATGTTTCATTCATACATGCTTAACCGCTGCTCATACAAGTGAAGACATCTGATTAATAATTACGAAATGTGAAGAAAAAAAGGAAAAAATAGACATGATTTAAAACACGGAGCTTCAGAAAATTATAATCAATCCCTAGCATAAGATAAGAAGAACTAATAGTTATACGAAGTTAAGTTTGGATAGCTCTTACCTAAGAGAAAATGATCTAACGGACGAGATTGAATGATTTTGCACCTTGTGTAAAACAGTCAAAGCATTTCAAATTTTTGAGTTTGTCAGAGCACTGAGTTGAATATATTCAAATATACGAATATATCAGAATATGTTCAAAATGTTAAAAAAACAGACATGGAGAATTGAAGATGGCTTAGGAGCAAGTGAAAACATATATATTATTTATAAAGTTAGATTCCAGACACAATTTGAGTCATAAATAATTTGATTCACATTATCTCTGAGTCTCTAACATGTTACTTATCACTTCAAAACTATGCAGGTGAAAAAGATGAGAAGTTACCGTTTGTATCTTGGTTTTTAAAATCCAAGGTTTGTATAATGCTTTAACGCACAAAACAAATTATGTCTGTTCATGTGATCAGAAGATTATAACATACGAAATTTTTGTACTTGCATGACAATTTTGATTGCGAGTAAAGCAACCGTTCCAACTTTCTAATCATTCACTTGCTCAAAATTTCAGTGCATAATAGCAGCCATCAGAAAGATCCATCTAATGATAGAACAACGCAAGTAGAGTAGTAGTAATATTTCCTTTACGTCACACTAGAGCTGCAAAATGAGCTATTGGCGACGGTCAGGGATACATCCCTGAGGATGATCCGAAGACATGCCATCACAATTTTGATCATCTGCAGAGCGAATGGCACCCCGTCTTCGGTAGCCCGACGACCTGCACGCGAAGTCGAGAACTTTACGGTAGAACAGTTTAACGAGGACCCCTCGGTCCCTACGCAGACTGATACAACGCAAGTAGAGACAAGAGAAGTGAATACTGAAGATGGTCTACCAGCCTGTGAGAACTTTTAAATTATTTATAATGCATTTATTACACTTAAGTCTGCAGAAAAAGATATTTAACTTTCTATAAATCTGAGTAAAATTTTTGCCTGTGAAAAGTAAAACGCAAAACTCCCTCCTACTGCATATAAAGTCTTATGATTTCGAGAACATTGATTAATTTACACACATCGGCAGTATGATTTCTAATATTGAGTATTGAACTTGCGAATGGCAGTAATAATGATGATGCGAATGGCTGTAATATTTGTTTAATAGGTCTTTTTTGCATATGTACAGGATTCCAAGTAAGTGGGAAAGACCTCATACAAGATTGATAATCGTGCAGATACAGGCCCTAAAGCATTAAAAATCAATCGCTGGTGGATCATGGCATCTGATGGGGTCCATTGGAGGAAACTGAGGCAGCCTTGACCTGTAGGGGGCTGTAGTGCATATGAAGAAGAAGATTTTGAGTGCTAATTTTCAGATGCAATTTGAGCGTTAATAACGTCAAAACTGTATTCCAGCAGCTAAAGAAAAGAAGAAAGCTTCATGTCTCCATTCCTAGAAAGCTTCAAATGGTGACTCAGATTATATCTTTTCAAGTGGCAAATATAACAGAAAAATTATGGACACTTTTATACTGCATAACGCATAAGCCCACCAATTCAACATTCCACTCAGTGAAATTATAGTGAAAATGAATTCCATACAAAGGATAACTGAAGAGTCCATTTCAGACAAACAATAACTTGAAACACAAATTCAAAGTGTTAAAGATAAAAATAAAAATAAAAAAAGAATAAAATAAAGAAGACAAAAAAAAGTTGGAGATTATTAGACGCCCCCCCCCTCCCATATTGCATTCTTCTAAAAGACACAGTGCAAAAGAAGATGAAGGCACATGCTTTTGAACAGTTAACGAATTGATCATCGTTAACACTCTTTCCTGATTCTAGGCACTACAGGATGACTAATATGAATATAAAAATTGATATTGAATTCTTCAAAATCAATTTTTAATTTTTGTAGATCTACTCTCAATCATCAAAGCCTTTCTAGCGTTCCAGTCGCAAGTTCGCTCTCAACAGCCAAAGTAAAGAACCATCCTCATTTTACGTTATTGAACTGTGCATAAATTTTACTTCATTGGGTTTGAAAAATTATGTCATTAAAAGCAATCATTTGCAAATTGTTTTAGGTATAAAAACATTTTCTTAAAAAAAAAATTTTTTTTTTTTATCATTACATGCATAATATGTTCATTCAACGAAAATTTATTCCGTTCAGTATTATGATATGTTAGTTTGACTCCGTATGTTAAAACGGGGATACAACGATTCCACAGCATAAGCAAAAGCAACCAAGTAAACGCAGGAAACTGGTTTATAATGTTGACAATAATTCTCCACAGGCAGAAAGCCCAGCTCTGCAACTTAACCCTCTGATGACTGTTGGCTCTACTTGTCAAAAAGGTTGTGACGTAACGAGGTTCATAATTATAAACTATAGAAGAAAACGCATACAACTTCAAAAAAAATATAGAAAAGTTCTGAAGTCTTCTATGGAAAAAGAGAGTGTAATAGGAAGCCTGAAAAAAGAAAACGAAGAGTTAAAGAAGAAATTGATAAAATATAGCGTTTTAGAATTAGAGGAAACTCAAACTCGAAAAAGCGAATTTCTGCTAGAGCAGCTAAAATGTTTCAAGATGCAGAAACCACGCTGGACTGAAAAAACCATCAGATTTTCAATCTTGTTGCACAGCAGATCACCAAGCGCATATAGATTTATCAGAAGTGAGGAGTTTCTTTCTTTGCCCTCAAAATCTACATTCAAAAGATTTATTGGTGCTACTACTGGCAACACCATCTCCAGTTTGATTAAGCAGCTCCTGATAATGGAAGCAAACCAGTTAACGAGAGAAGAACAGTTTTTCGGATCCATTATTGTAGATGAAATGAGCATCAAGCCATCTGCAACTTACAACAAGCAAGCAGACGAACTTTTTGGACTCACAACAACTGAAAGTTCAAAGATCTCAGAACTAGGAATGGAGAAGAAGCTGGCCAATTCGTTACTTTGCTTCATATTTACTGGGCTTTCAACCCACTTCAGGCTTCCTATTGCTTATTACTTTACAAGAGGTCTGACAGGTGAAGAGCTAGCCACCCTAATGACAGAAGCTCTTCGAAGCCTTGAAGAGATAGGTTTCAGGGTGATTAGAATATCTGCAGACAATCACAAAATGAATGTCAAGGCCTTTTCCATTCTTGCTGGTGGACAACTTATTCCTGTGATTGTTCACCCTTTGGACCCAGCAAGATCCTTATTTCTGTCATTTGATCCTTGCCATATCCTTAAGAACTTAAGAAATCAATTATTTTCCAGACCCCTACATTTTCAAGGCCCAATTAACGTTATTTTCATTAGAACTCTGTATAATTTGCAAAAGAGTAATGTCATTAAACTTGTGAAAAACTTAACACGGAAACACGTATATCCTTCAAACTTCGAAAAAATGAATGTCTCTAGAGCTGTAAAAATATTTAGTCTGGACACAATAGCTGCATTGAAATTTCTTAAGCAAAATTCTAAAAGATTAAATCAGCCACTATTTCTAAATTCAACTGACACAATAGAATTTTTAGAAATCATCAATAAATGGTTTACAATTCTAAACGTTAAAAATACTCATCAGTACATAACATCAAGAAATCCCGATACAATGCATTTTTTTTCCATAGATGACGAAAGACTAACTTGGTTGGAAGAAGACTTCCTAAACTATTTTCAAGAGTGGTCTGAATTAGCTGATTCTACTTCTTTTTTAAGTAAGGAGACTTACGAAGCTCTGAAATTTACAACTGAATCTACCGTAAAGTGCATAAAATATTTGCTGGAGTCAGGGTTTCAGTATGTCCTTACTCGAAAAATGACATCCGATGAAGTGGAGTTATTTTTTTCAGCCTTAAGGCAAATGTCAGGATCAAATGATGTGACTAATGCAAATAACTGCATTCAAAATATTCAAAAAATTTTAGTTACTGGTATTGTGTCAGCAGCTTCGAAAGGCAATGTAGAGTCAACATCAAGCGAATGGCTGGCTGATTCTGAAGTTGTACAGATTGAAGCAACAGATGGTAAGAAAATAAGTGTCTTTTTTTATATCCTTAGTTTTTTTCTTTAAATAAACTCATTATCCATGACTGCACAATTATCCGATCCAATAGATTGTCCTAGTATTTTTTTTATATCAAAACTATACTTAAATTTTTTTAATTATTTTCTTCTTAAAATTTTAAAAAAAATCATTTTCTAAGTTTTTTCTAAACCCCATTAAAGTCAACATGTAATAAAAACAACAAATTGATCACAGATATGTTACTAAAGGTTTTTTTTGTTTAAGATTTGTCCAACAATATAAAATAAACATATCAAAATATGTAAAACAAATGTAAGTTATTTGTTATTACACTCAAAGAAAAGTAGTTAAACATTTAACTCTCCTGTCTGAACATTTTCATTAATATATATATATATATATATTGCAGATTGAGGATTATATGAAGTTGAATACTATGCTTGTTAATAATAAGTTTATTTATCATTTTTATTGTTACTAGCTTGCTGTTCATCTAGTCTGACGAACGAGACAAATAATCTGACTAGACCGATGTCGCTGGAAGTTAACCAAATGGACATTGTTTCAGGTATGTTACTAATTTTTTTCGTTTTTAAGATGTGTACTTAGAAATAAGGGGCAATCGAAAATAACCACATCAAATTATATAGAAATAGTATTAGCTATTTGTTATTTCTCATACAAAAATGTTGTAACACATTTAAAGTTTTCTCACGTTTGTACGTTTGGCTTGAATCAATAAATCACTTTCTGCCGTTATTTTTTTTTCTTTTTGTAATTAGATTTATTTAAATAATTCAGAAATTAATATGAGATTTTAAGCTTATTAAGCTCCCCCTTTTAAACTAAAATCGTCTTTCAAAATTAGTTCTTTTTGAAGTCCTTTTTATTTCTTTGAATAAGATTTGTTGTTGTTGTTAATTTACGTCGCACTAGAGCTGCACAATGGGCTATTGGCGACGGCCCGGAGGATGATCCGAAGACATGCCATCACAATTTTGATTCTCTGTGGAGGGGATGGCACCACCGCTTCGTTAACCCGACGACCTGAGCGCGAAGTCGAGCACTTTATGGTAGCATAGTTTAACGAACACCAATACCGCTCACCCTCGGTCCCTACGCAGACTGATCCAAGTGGTCACCCACCAGCACACTGACCATAGCCAGTGATGCTCTTAATTTAATACTAATTTAAATGACGATGTCTTTTTTTTTTTTAATCTAAATTTTTAGCAAACTCTTCACGAAGCTTGCCTGGACTAAGTGATGAACTGAAGTTCCTGGAGTATGCTCCNAACCGTGTCTTAACGATCAGTCCACTGCGGGACTCTTTGAATAAGAATAAAATCTTTTTGACCATAAAAACTACTTTGAAATACTAATTAAATGCTAACCTTAAAAGATATCTTAATTCAATACTAATTTAAATGACGATGTCCTTTTTTTTTTTTTAATCTAAATTTTTAGCAAACTCTTCACGAAGCTTGCCTGGACTAAGTGATGAACTGAAGTTCCTGGAGTATGCTCCTTCCGGTATGCCCACAGTGTCTATAGAATCTGCATCAGTCGCATATATTGCTGGCTACGTCGTATATGCCGCAGAAAAAGATATTGAATGCTTGTACTGCATAGAGTCAATCTCAACACAAGCCTGCCCTTCTCCTCTAATGGGTTTAATTCACAACAGTGACAGAGGTGGGAAAAAATATCCAAAACCATCTTTTGTAATGGTTTTATTAAAGGTGGCAAAATTTCTGAAGCAAATTTTAATACATTGTGAAAGAAAACCCAAGCTTTCCAATTACTTGTGCGAAATAGTACTTCCACATTTATCAAAAAATCCTATCTTCAAATGCAGAGAACCTACTCATGCCGACAAACTTTGCAAACTTGCTCTGCAAAAATTTTTAACACCTTTCCTTAATAATTATGCTAAAGATTATAACGAAAAATATTTGGAAGCACATCGATTAAATATTAAAAAAAAGCTCATTTCTAAAAAAATTTTGAAAATTGGACAGTGAAGTCCTTATTCAATTGATATAATATTACTTATTCAATTTAGCAATAATTATTCAGTTCTTATTTTATAAAATTCATGTATCAATTATATTTAAGGCTTTGCTTTATTGTGTAAAACAGATTTGATAATGTGCAAATGTTACTTGGGTAAATCATGTTGAAGAGTAACTTTATCTACTGTTATAGCTGTATATATTCTTGTACATAAATTGTTGCTTTTGCTGTGGGAAATTCGGGAAATTAGAAATAGCTGGATCAATTTTCATAACATTCATGTAATGATTAACAGCTCATTTGCTTCCTTGTTTCTATTTTGTAAAATTTATATTTCAATTATATTTAAAGCTTTGTTTCATTGTGTAAAACGGATCTGATTTTGTGTAAATGTTTCTTGGGTTAAACATGTTGCAGAGTAGATTTATCTACTGTTACAGCTGTATATATTCTTGTACATACATTGTTGCTTTTGCTGTGGGAAATTCGGGAATATCTGAAATTGTTATCTCGAAAACTGGTTATCTCAAAAAAAAAAAATTTATGTCCCTTCAACTTTGAGATATCGAGAGTATACTGCATATAACCATGTAAAGTGTTATGCCTTAGATTGCATTTTTAAAAAGGAGGGGGAGTGAGTGTATATTTGTGTTAATGTTTAGGTAAAGTTTTTGATTTAGGTAAAGTTGTCATAATGTTTAGGTAAAGCTGTATTTACATTCTCTATTTTTAGTTCTTATTATCTTAATATTTCAAGTGTTTATCTAATAGATGCGTAGTCTGTTATTATAATACAACATCACTTGATTTCTTTTTCTTCAATTTTTTTAAAAATTTGTATTCAGATAATAAAATATTTTCAAAAAAGCATTACAGCTAAGTAGACTCTCTAATAAAACGATAAGACATCAGTGGTGCGCTTCTGAACTCTCAGAAGATTGAGAAATCTTATAGAATATTAATAAAGCATATTTTTTGCACATCAATTACAAAAATTTTCTTCATTTTACAATAATCTTTTTTTCTTGACTTTCCGAAATTCCCAATTAATTTTAAAAAATAAATTAAATTAAAGTTTAAGTAAAAGGAAAGGAAACAAAGTGATCTACTGCACAAGCAGAAAATTTGCAAAAAATTTGAGGGTATAGTAAGTTTCCCTACAGAGTCTCGAGAAATTTCGGCAATTTTTCACCACATTAAAATAAATAAATAAATAACGTTCGTACAACCTCAATTTAAAACATTAAATAAATGAAAAACAGAACATCAAAATTTTCCTTTTATTTAAATATAATTGTAATATTTTACAATTGTTTTATCATGAACAATTTAAACAGATTTCTGAAATTTTCTTATATTTCCCATGGTAATGTTAAGAAAACTAAAATTCATTTACTCTACAACCTCACGACAGCACCACTGGGCCCGAAAAGAAAATCATCGTTGTATGTATAAACAAAAACATGGAATTTAAATTGTTATGTTATTGTTATTATTACTTTTCGTCAAAAATATTGCTACATAAATAGATTACACAACTTTTTATTGCATTCATGCAAGTTCAATTTCAAAATCTATTGGAATAAAATTCAAACTTAACCATTTGGTTCGGTTGTTATTGCCTCTTTATATAGATTTTTTTTAAAAAATTAATATTCTACTATTGGTCATTACAAAAATAGTTAAATATTTTTGTCAGTTCATTTAATAAATTTGTATGATGTTAATTCATAATAATAATTTTGTATTCTTTATTTTCAGTGAATTTTTGACTAGAATTTTTTTTTTATATAAAGCTTACTATAAAATTTAATATAACCTATTTACTGTAATTAATTGGAAAACAGTTAAATTATATACCGCTTTCAATTTGTTTTCAAAGCCTCGATACTAAAAATGTTCTGACAATATTAATTTTTTTAAAAATTTTTTCGAGAGTTTTGCAACGTTATACATAAGTGCTTTTTTCTAAATTTTTTTCCTCTCATTTTTATTTATTTTATTTCATAATTTATTTATTTATTTTATTTATTATCCTTATATATTTATTTATTTATTAATATTATTCCTATTATTTTTTGGTTTTTGTTTCACGTTACATTTTGTTTTGCTGCTCAAAAAGTATAAGGCTTAGAAAAGTGAAAGTCTTAGAACTACGAATGTTTCTTTAAAAAAATTATAAAGGAGTGGGATAAAATAAAAATAAAATTCGGTAATTAGTTCCAGAGTTAATAACTGTTAAATTTGTTGCAAAAAATACTATGTGGGATAATCTTCTGCCCAGTGAAGTGTAACTAAAGAGTTGAAATTTAAAGAGATGATAAGGATGTTTATATTTATAAAGTTATTACAAAA